AAGAGGGAGGGGTTCTCTATAAGCTGGCATGGAAAGGAAATAGTGGGTCTATGCTTCTTATCAAAGCAGCGTGTAGCCCAGAAACCTCTTTTTTTTTTTTTTTTTTTTTAACCCTAGAGGCATTTAAAGAAAACCTCTGTTGCTCACAGTGGGTCATTCTGGAGCACATGAACTCCCATTGTGACCACCATAGCAATTTGTCTGCATCACCTCCCAAGCCTCCATCGGCCTGGTTACAAACATCACTCCTCAACCCTCCAGTGTGGTGATATGTTGTGTACCCTAATAAACTTGCCTGAGGATCAGAGGACAGAATCAGCCACTAGATTAGACATAGAGGCCAGACAGTGGTGGCACACACCCTTAATCCTATCACATGGGAGGTGGAGAGCCTCTGTGAGTTCAAGGCCACATTGGGAACAGAGCCAGGTGTGGTGGCGCACGCCTTTAGTCCCAGTCAGCAGTCCCAGTCCAGATTAAACAGAGAAGATGTGCTCCCTGGAGCCAGAAAGGAACCCTGTGCTCATGTGTAAGAGGTCAGGTTAGAGGCTGCCATGAGAAGACACTGGGTCTGGAAGAGCCTAGGACAACTTATATACTTATTTCCTGTAAACATCACATCATAACCCATTGGTGGCCTCATTTCTACCCCAGCTGTCTGGGGTCCTTATGGGTATCACCTGCCCCACAGGACCGTCCCCCTGGGTGTGTCAGTCACTTCCAACCAGAACTCTGCTGAGTCAGTAGAAGCTTGCCTGGAGGGGTAGCTTTTAGGGAAATCCAGCAAGAGAGATACACTCAAGTGCTCATTTGGTAAACACCTACTGTGTGCATGCCTAGTCCCTGGTGGTTGGTACTGTTGTTGCCATCCTTGATCCCCTAGAGAGACTTGAAGTCACCAGGCAGGGTGAGTCTGGTGCAAACCAGGATGGGGATGGGCTCCTCTCTGTCATTCTCTGCAGGGAAGTCCTGAAAAGGAGTCACTGCTAAAGACTGTCATTTGTGGGCTGTGGCGTGTCCCTATGTGCTCTTGTCACCACGTTCCTGCTCTTTCTGGTGGCTGGGTGAGGAAATGCCCACATCAGGGCTCTATTTGTCTCCTCCCAGATTCTATAGCGATCCCCATGAGACTTCTGATCTGGGGCTCTCTTAGGGTGAGCTGGGCCCCTGCTGCCAACATGAGCCCAGCAGCGGGGGATCCGAGCAAGACCAGGCTGAAAGGGCTTGAGGCTCATGGGGCTGTCCTCACCAGCCAACCCTTCTGCCTACTACAGGGTCCCCACCTCTGAGCTGACCACAATTCATAAGAATCTCACTCTTTCCCTGGCCTCTGCTGAAGGCTTCCTCATGCCAGCGAGTGTGTGAGGGCCAACAAGTGGGCAGCCAGCAGGTGGCTTATAAGCTCTGGGGCGAGGAAAGCATGGGAGGCCTTTTGGGGTCTCCTCCCACTGCTTACTTGCTGATGGCTTCCTTGCCCTGGTGGGAAGCAAATTCCAGAGAAGAAAGACCCAGATGGTACAAGTGACAGAGACCTTTCTCCTGACTCCTGTTTGAATGAGAATGCCAAACATAGTCATGGGATCAAGGTCAGCTGTGCCCAGAGCTGACTTCACTGGTGACCTCCACCTTCCTCCAGGTGGCCTGTGTGGCTGTCACAGCTGCCATGCATCTTCTCTTTCTGGTTTCCTTCTCCTGGATGCAAATGGAGGGACTACTGCTATGGAGCAAGGTGGTAGCTGTGAGTATGTGCCCGGGCCCCAGGATGAGGCTGCTCAACCTGCCCCACACCTGGGCCTATCCCCAAGCCCATCAGTACCATTCAACATCCAACAGCACCTCAGCACTACCTAATACATAGTACCCAGTACCACTGAACACCCAGCACTCATCATTACCACAGTCCTGTTTCACCCAGTACTTGTCTCTAATACTTGTCTTTGATGTGAGCTCAGTTTTCTCAGACTCTAATTTTACCCAGCCTGTTTCTCTTAAGTTCCCTCCACTTAGCAGCCTCAGCTCCCCACCTCTAGTTCCTAATCTGAAACCAGCTAGCACTGTGCCAATTGCCACCCTTCCTGCTCACTGGCTCCCAGCCCTAAGACTTCAGCCCAGTCTTGACTCTCTCTGCTGCAACCAATAGTATCAGGCCCCAGACCCCACACAGCACTCTGCCCTGGTTCTTAGATTGACCCAGGAATTCCAGGGGACAATTGTGTGCTGGATCCTTGAAAGAAATGAGTGGTGGCATGGCCTAAGGCCATTTTCTCCTTCCTGTGGCCATTGTGGCCATCACCCTAGCACTGTACCCCCATGACTTCTGGACACTGGTGGCTCAATGTGCACACAGATGCCATCTGGGCCTTTCTGGAGCCTGTGCTATTGTGCTGACTGTGAGCTCAGAGGTGTGGGTGCCACAAGGGAGGGGCATGTCGGGAAGAGGGAATACCTCTTGCCCACTGGCACCCAACCTCCATGCCAACACCTGCATCCTGGTCCAAGTGGTGATGGTCACTGTGTCCAGCACCCACCACCATGCACACATGCTAAACCCACAGCCTGGCATGCAGCAGAAGATCAGGTTCCAGATGTGGTGAGGCCCAGCTTGGGGGCAGGATGAGACTGGTGTGCAAGGCCAGCTGGCACCCCACATGAGCCTGGTCGAGTGTGAGCACAGTGAGTATGTGTTGGGATGTGTGGCCAAGCGTAAGCCCATGTGAAACAGAGGAGTACATGTGTAGTCTTACTTTTATGGGACTTATGCTTGGATATGTCATGCTGTAGGAGGTACTGTGTATGCCAGCCACTATCCCAGGGCCTTACTGTCTGCAAAAGGTGCTGAAAGTTTGCTTGAGACAAGACAGGTGGACTCCCCAAGTCAGGACATCCGCAGTTTGGGATCTGAGTAGTAAGGATTCAGGTCTCCAGCTCTACCAAGAACCCTTCCCACTTCCCCAGCATCATGACCTCTGGAGCATGATGGGTTGATCTTCTTCCTATGGCATTGCCTCCTCTGTTTCCTTCTTCGCTTGAACCATCCCCACAACAGCAGAACCACTCAAGCCAGCAAGTCTCTGAGAAAACAGGGAGCCCAGGCCCCTGGAGAGGGGGTGCAGAGCCTTCTTGGCTCATGCACCCCATACCCTTGCCCATTCTGGGCAGCTGCCCTCATTTTTGCAAACTAGGCTTGGGATGAAATCTCATCTCCCAGTACCACCACCCTACTAGAAGGGAGTAAGGTCCATGCAAGGGCTTTGCAAAATGTTCTTACAGTCTGTAGCTGTAGACCCTCTTTTTGGGTGCTCCTCCATCCATCAGACCCAAGGGAGCATACTGGCCTCTCAGCTCTGCCTCCTTTCCCCACAGGGCCATGGTGAAGCTGGTGTTGGCCCTGCTAACTGCCCTGGGCCTGACTTGGCTGGTTGGCCTCCTAGTGCATCTTAGCCCAACCTGGGCCTCTGCTGCTGTGGGCCTCAATTCCTTCCAGGTATTTCTAGGCCCTGGCCATGTAGAATGGGGCTTTGGCACACTGCAACTCAAGGTATGTGGTTAGCCAGAACTAAACAAGGGGTGAGCCTCCATCACAGAAAGTATCCAACAGCAAAGTGGGGCATTCTACAAAGAGGGGATAAGTGTGGCATGGCAAATGGTATCCTTAGATCCACAAGTGGGACATGACAGAGGACTTTTGGTTCACTGGACAGTTGTTGAAGAAGCTGTGGCCTACCAAGGGGATGGTCAAGGGTCATGGTATCTGGGCCACTTCAAGGATCACCAGGAGGTCTCAAATATTATTAAAAAACCAGCCTTAATAATATTCTTCCCAGGGGCCCAGAAAAGGATTATTTTTAATTATCATTTTTAATTACTATTTTTGGGAAATGCATCTAAATACACCAAGCTCTTTGTCCATCTACTTTATTCCTCTGGGATAAAATCCCATCTACCCAGGTTCAGTTCTGTTCTCGTGCCTAGATCCTTTCTTGCCTCATTTCTCTCTACCTTTATCTGCTGTCCCATCTAAGTTCTATCTTAATTCTCTCATCTTTTTTGTTTTGTTTTGTTTTGTTTTTTGTTTTTTGAGACAGAGTTTTTCTGTGTAGCTTAGAGCCTTTCCTGGAACTCACTCTGTAGACCAGGCTGGCCTCAAACTCACAGAGATCCGCCTGCCTCTGCCTTCTGAGTGCTGGGATTAAAGGCGTGCGCCACCACCGCCCTGCAATTCTCTCATCTTAATTCTACCTCATTTAGGTCCTTCTCATCTTGTTCTTCCCCATTTGGCTCTTCCTCATCTTCCATCTCGTCCTCAAATTCTCTCTGGTCAAAATCCTCCTTATACCTTTCAGTCCTTCATCCTCAAGTTCTCTAGGGTATTCAGTTAGAAACACAAGCAATAGCAATCCTCCACCTCCAGCCAGGTCACCAGACTTGAATTCTTACAGGGTCACAAAGGCAGGTAAGTATTTTCCTCGGGCAGTGACTGTCACGCTTTCTATTATAACCCAAAAAGGGAGCATTTAAAGGAGGAGATCAACTGAGAACTAATATCAAAAAGGGGATTTATGTGCTCAGTCTACATTCCTAGAAGTGGTTAGGTAAGAAATTAGGAGTCTATAATGTTAGTAAGGTTGTATAAGAAAGAAGGGTCTCTCATCTTGCACAAGCTTATTATATTGAAATAAAGCTTATTATTATTGATACTTTTATGAAAATATAAATATGGTAAGATAAAAAGGTCAATTTTAAATCTACTTTTAAAAAGGAACTACTTGTTTTAAATAAGTAATGAAAATATTTTTGTCTGAGTTTATCAAATGTTACTGGACTGGACATTGTTAATATATATAATGGAGTTTTTTGTCTGAATATCAAATCTTAATGGACTAGACATTGTTAATGTAATTTTTGACTGTATATATTGTATATACTTATTAGATAGTTTTTCTTGTATTAGTTATAAGCTTTTTTTTAGACAAAAAGAGAGGAAATGTGATGGTATTATATTCCCCAAAAGACAGGCGTTGTTTCCACAAGGGTGTTACCTTAGTTTAGGAGATCATTTGGCCTTGGATGTTTGATAGGTATTTTAGATAAATATACTGTTAGGAGTCCTTGGAAGTATACATAGCTTACAAGAAAATCACTGTAGGAACCAGCTAATACATCAAAAACAAAAGCTAAAATATCACCAAGACTTCTTAAGCCACGGCTTGACCTTTAGAAAAGTCCTTGACTTTTCCAAGTGTAGCTTTTGTGATAGTAGCTGAATTCCATTACATTTTCCTATGGCTTGCAGCAAGGAGGCCCTCGCTTTAGGTATCCCTAGGCCACTGCCAAGTTGGCTCAGGCCACCCTATCTGTGATGACAAAGGTTCAGGGAAGGGTTCAGTCAGGAGGCTAATACTTAAGTCACACAATAAAGCCACTATGGCTTGGTGCCAGAGAACCTGTATGTCCCTGTCTATAGCATTTACAGACCTGTTGGGGACCCAGACAGGGACAGATGGTGCCAGCCTGGGGGCTAGGTGGTAAGAGGATGACAGCCCAAACAAGTGGTCCCTGGCACTGCCTCCCTGTCCCTTGGGGGACTGTCCCCTTTGTCCATGCCAGCTTTCCCTACCCCCACTCCCTCTCAGGGCCAAAAATAATAACAGGGCAAGGTTGAACAAAGATATGCTCCCAAATCAGGGGTAGACTCTGCCTAGGGCCCAGCATCCTCAGAGTAGCAAGACTCCCTCAGAGATGAGGGCTGAGGCTGTAAGTCCTGCTTCTGATACCTGTGAGATTGCTCAGGCCCAGCTCATAGTTTTATCTCAAAACAAACTTGTAGATTGGAAAACTGAGGACTTTTACAGTTATCTACTTGCCCAAGGCCTCAAAGCAGCCTGATATAGACCAAGCTGGCTTTGAACTCACAGAGACCCACCTGCTTCTGCCTCCCGAGTGATGGGATTAAAGGTGTGTGCCACCACTGCTTGGCCTGTATCTGGATTCTTAGTCTCTTCGGTAGTCAGCTTTGACTGCAGACAGGTCCTCCGGAGGGGAGCCCTGACCACTACTCATCCATTCAAGTCACAGCTAGATCACCTACCATGATGTGAGGTGCTGGGGATACAGCACAAAAAAAGTCCCATTGAAGGTGACAATCTGGAAAGTAGAGGCTGACAATGACCCAGATAAAGGATGGCACAGTGGTGAGGGGACAAGGCAGAGATAGGAAAGGTCCTGTCCCATATTGTCTTTCCCCCTGGACCTGGGAGACTTGACCATTCTCTGCTAGGTTAGTATGGAAAAAAGAAAGGACTTCCTAGGGAGATGGCTTAGTAGGTGAAGAACTTGTCATTCAAGGATGAGGACCTGAGTTCTGATCTCTAGCACTCACATAAAAATCTGGGTGCATCAGGGATTTAGCTCAGTGGTAGCCTAGCAAGCACAAGGCCCTGGGTTCGATCCTCAGCTCCAAAAAAAAAAAATTGCCGTGGTCGTAATAAAGACCGGAAGCTGAGCTTTTGGGGCTAGAGAGATGGCTCAGAGGTTAAGAACACTGGCTGCTCTTCCAGAGGTCCTGAGTTCAATTCCCAGCAACCACATGGTGGCTCATAACCATCTGTAATGAGCTCTGGTGCCCTCTTCTGACATATAGGCATACTGTATACATAATAGAAAGACAGACAGACAGACAGACAGATAGATCTTAAAAAAAAAAATCTGGGTGCTGCAGCATGTACCTCTGACCCTAGCTCTGAGAAGGCAGAGACAGGGGACCTTACTAGCCAGCCAGACTAGTTGAATAAGCGAGTCGCAGGTCCAGAGACACCTTGTCTCAAAAGGTAAAGTGGATAACAATTGAGTTTGAGACCTAATATTGACCTGTGACCGCCACATGCATGCATATACATGTGCTTACACACCTGCAGAAACACAGGGTACTGGGTGCTGTGTCTCCTTTCCTGACATAGCTCAGGGTCCCCAGTACTCAGAGACTCTATCCCAGCTCTGCCCCATGTGTCTGAGTATCCCTGGGGAGGTTTCTCTAGCTCAACACAGAACAGGAAGGTGACAGAAGCTTGTTGTCATGGTGATTACTTCAGCGTGCTGCCACTGCCCCTTCATGACCAGGATTGCTCCCCAGGCCTGCTGGAAGTGGGGACTCAGGTCAGAGGTGCAAGCAGTGGAAACCCTAGACTCCCCCTCCCCTCTCTTTTCCCCCTAACCTGTGGCTTCTTTTGTTTCTGAACTTTCTCTTATTTTTTTTCTGTCTCTCAGGCTGACAATGTTTTCTCTCTCCCCCCTCCCATCTGTTGATATTTTTTTCTGGCATTGCTAGGATCGTCCTCATCCTCTAAGCTCTCTCTTCTCCCAGTCTGGCTTCTTCTCTGCTCTGTTCCTGGTTCCTGTGGGCATGGTGCTATAAGACACATCCTTGACTCATTCCAGGCTGTGTCCTTGGGGGCTGAATCCCTTGTGACTTCCCCAGGCTTGGCTTTCCTTTTGTCCTCTCTTTTACATCACACCTCCCGTCTCTCTGTCTCTCTTCCTTCCCTACACCTGCAACCCAGCCTTTCTGTCTTAGGCACAAATTGGGCAGGACAGTGATGAGGGCCAGAGAGACCAGAATAAGCCCAGCCTCATTTGTTCTTCAGAGGTGATTTTGTTTCCTTCTGACCCACGATGTCTGGTTTCGTGGCAGGAGAGCAATGCCTCACTTCTTTAACCAGTTGTAGCTCACATCTACCCTGGAAGACCCATCTAATGAGGACTGAAGTCCTTCATGCCTTAAGGAACCTTCTGGTGGTCCAACTGAAATAACCTTTACAAAGGGGCTGAATGCAAGACCTGATGCACACTAAAGCTCTCTGAATGGAGACTCATTTGCTCATTCATTCATTCATTCATTCATTCATTCATTCATTCATTCATACTTCACAGATCCTCCCACCCCCAGGCCAGTGCTGGTTCACACCACAGAGAATGCTTGTGTGTAGTTGGAAATTTTCCCGTGTCCTGCCCAGTCCTACAGCCCACTCAGACCCAAATAAACACACAGAGGCTTATATTATTTTCAAACTATGGCCATGGCAGGCTTTTTGCTGGCTAGTTCTTATATCTTAAATTAACCCATTTCTATAAATCTATACTTTGCCATGTGGCTTGTGGCTTACTGGTACTTTATATACCTTGCTTCTCCTGGCGGCAGCTGGCAGTGTCTGCTCCACTCTCCTTTCTTCTCCTCTCTCAGATTTTCCTGCCTGGCTCCATCCTTTCCTGCCATAGGCCAATGTAGCTTTATTTATCAATCAATCAGAGCAACATGTATTCACAGCATACAGAAAGACATCCCATAGCATTTCCCCTTTTCTGTCTAATCAAAAAGGAAGGTTTTAACTTTAACATAGCAATATTATATATAATAACATAGTTACCAAGCAAGAATTACAGTTACAATATTAGTCTATTTTTATTTGGCAAAATTAAAGAAAATATTCTATCTATCTTATATTTGTGAGTCAAAGGTTTCATATCTAATTTATCTTTTATCATGACTAAAGAAAA